ACACACACACACACACACACACACACTGACCAGTATGCAGTTAGCCCCTCACCCTCACTGAAGTTTAAATATATGGAAATAAACCTCCATGAAATCACCTGATTTAATCATGTAACTACTTTCTCTTAGGATTTATTGACAGCATCACACAAAGCAGGATACACTGAACCTTTTACTGACGCATAGTGTAAAATGTATAACGACAGAATTCACACGCAGAAGAGAACATGTAAACGATATGTTTAAATCAAATATTTATCACTCCGAGCTACTTGTGGGAACCAGACACAGGAACAAGAAAAGCCAAGATGGGATTTTCACACCATTGTACCAACAATAAACAGCTTGAATCGTGGCGCAAATAAAAAAGCACTGCAACAGGTCTTTTAATGGGTCTGAATGTACCGGGGAGTGAACAGTTAGCAAACCATAAGATGACAGATGATGCATCCTAGTACGCTGCTGGGACAGGCCGAGCCATGTTGACATAAAATCCAATACTTCCTTACTGAGGAACGAGGCCAACTTCAGCTAGCTCCTTGCCGAGCACTAAAAATCTCAGCAAGCTGAAGCAATATTATCCGGCTTAGTGTTTCTAACATTAGATTTGTCTCTCTGTAGAGGTCTTCTTTTATTTACCTAAGCGTAGTGGCTAAAGACACATTTTATCCTTTTTAGGGAAAATTTAAAATCAAAAAGACGAAGAAAGTAGCTGAAAGTTAGAAAGTCTTCCACAAAGGAGCGTACACCCACACGTCGACACACGGAGCAGCTTCTGAAATGCTTTAGCAGGACTGAGGACGGTGAGCTGAAAAAGTACCCGACTGGAATCGACAACATAAAGTACATCCTAGTTTTTTTTCCTTTCCCTTTCTTCTCTTTTTTATTTTAGTGCGCATGAGCGTTCACAAAGTGCCAGGCCACGCGGGAGTGTCCTAGAGTGAGTAAAAACACACACACACAGAAACCCAGTCGTCAGCACCTATCCGGCACACACACTGCTGCACCGTCCCAAGCACAGCTAATTAAAAAACAACAATTTCACAGGAGGGCACTCCAAACAGTTCTAAAAAGCACCTCTCAGCACACCGGGGGATCGTCCAGCACTCACCGAGGGTGAGACGGGTTCTGGGAGCTCTGGTTTTATGGCCTCATCGCTGCTGTTGTTTTTCTCTGCTCGTACTGCCGTGACCTGAATTTCATTTTGCTCATGGCACGTGAATCTGAAAATCTGGACAAATCTGAATGCTGGCATATATGGATTTGTTACAAATAAAATATTCGAGAAGTACATTTTGCCAGACAGTAAAACTTTATAGAGCATGGAAAGAAAAAAAAAACATAAGTGTAGTCAGAATGGTGTATACTATACAATACTAGTTAATGTTATGTTTTGTGGATGGAGCCCATGGCAGTTTCTAACAAGGCAGTCCATTACAGGGGTGTTGTCCAACACTTCAGTAGAGTGATAGGCCTTATTACATGGTTGCTTTCAAAGCATCTGCTTGGTTAGAGGAAAGGTCCCTCTGGGGAAAAGATCTCCCTCTTTCTAATGATGTATAATTGACCTCCAAACACCAGGGCACAACAAACTCTCTCGGGGTGGTGTAATTCCACTCTGCTTTTTACATACCACCCGTCTCGTTCGAGCTTGTTCCTCCTCTACGGCTGCGGCTCCCGTCCAACTGACACCTCTGCCGAGTTGTTTCTAATCAAGCTTGGCTCTGAAATATTCCTAACCATTTCCTCAAAATTATCCTCTTCTGACAGATTGAATTTTACTATCCCCTCTTTAAAATACATCATCTATTGTCTGAGAATGTGTTGGGCCCCCTAAATTTTAAGTAGTCAGAAATTATTCACAAAAATACCTGTTTTATATCAAAACAGGGTTCAGCTCTCATGAAATCAAATGAGGCAAATATGAGATAAAGCCTCATACAATCCAATCTTGTTACTGCACTGTATGGAGCAGGATGTGTAGAACCGTGTTGGTGGTAGTTTTAATAACACTCGTACACAATTGTTTTTTTCCCCCGTCTGCACTTAAACCTGGTCCAAAGGTGTGAAAAAAGACTGCTTGCCAATTCCTTGATTTATTATAGCTAAGTGAGAGCTGATTACGGGGCATGAATCAGTTGCTGTAGGAATGTAATTAGGCACGTAGACCTCTGTATGGCTAGGAGCTCTCTTCACAGCCCAAAGCAGTTTGTGGGCTGACAAATGCATCTTAAATGGATGTCATAAAAGTCAAAAAGGTGCCAATTACATCTTAAAGTATCCCATCAATGCAAATAGAATAAACAAACAAAAAAGGAAGAAATACTTGTGTCTGTGCGATGGAGGGATACTCCTGTTAACGCTTTTCAAGTTGGGAGGAGTTGACGAAAAAACGGAGGAGGCAGAAGGATGGATGGAGAAGAATTAAAAGATGTGATGAATAACAGTGTGTGAGAGTGAAACAGCGCCCAGCAGGTTGTTGTGTTTGGCCAGGGTGTTAGGACCTGCCACACAGGCTCACAGCAAAGAGAATTGGGGCAAATGGTGAGATAAAACCCAAATATGGAACTAGAGAGAAAATGCCAGGAAAGAGTATTATTTGGAAGCGAAACAAATCCTGTCTTTCTCCTCGTGTTTATCTCTGTCCTATTCTCTCAAATTAAAAAAAAAAAAGAAAAAAAAAGGACAGTGCTAAGTGAGGCATGAGAACGAGATCCTCTCTCTCCCTCTCCCCTCTCCCTGCCGGACTGTCTCAGCTTCCAGCCACCTCTGAGCCGTGACGCCGTGACTCTGGTATCCCCTGGTTACTGCTATGAATTTTTCCATTGTTATCAGTCGACTACACTCCTGCCACAAAGCTGGATGAATGGCACGCATGGCGATAGATGTAACTCTTTGTTGCTTGCAAGGTATCTAGCCGAGAGCCATAATGTGTCGGTAATCGAAGTAGAATTGTTAAAAAGGTCGCACACAAAAAGCTGAAAATTTAGTGACAAGCATGAAAAGCGCTCAAGCGATGAGAAACACAGGGGCACCCCGGGGTCCTCGCAGGCCAAACAGCAACCCTCAGCATTGCCTCACACTGTGTCACTATAGCCTCAATATTTGCTTCACTATATATCTGCCATCTCTGCAGGGTTTATGTGATAATTCACTAATTCAATTTACACATTTATACCACTGCTCTGATAACAACTGTCATGCTGAAAATATTTTCATTGTTAAAATGTAACAAGTGCCACTGAATTTATTTTACTCAAATATTTGTTGTTACATATAGGCCTGATTTTGAATGTAAAACTTTATTGTAATCCATTCAAAACACAAACAGGGAAGGGCCAAATCTCAACTCCCTCTGTATTTATTTGTACTTGCAAAATTATTGTTTTCCTCATGGTTGTATTATTAATTATATATATTATATTATTTTTTTTATAAATACATAAATAATATTGTGTTGGTGTGAATTTGTCAAATTATCAAATATAAATGTTATCATATTTTCTGCTGTTGTAATGGCACCCCAGCATTTTGACTCACAATAAGTTTATATTTTCAGAGAAGCGTAACTTGTAATTTAACACTTAATTATGAATGCCTCTGGGCCGGAGTGTTTATCTTTGATTGCGTGCGCGTGTGTGTTTGTGTGTCAGTCACGCGTGCACAAACGACTGAACCTTTAATTATCAGTCATTATAAATCCACGTGAACGCGTTTTAGCTTCGCAGGTTCAGACTGAATTCCTATGGAGTAAAAAAGGCGCAGATTGTTTTTCAATGAACCGTGAAATTCCTGCAGTGACTCCTATTCCGAATAAAACACGTCATATATCCAATAAAATAAAATACCTACGATAAAATTAAAATAGGTTGGATACAAATTTTTAAATCAAAAATATAAAGCTGCAAAAGCTAAATAAAGATAATGAATAAGAAATAAATATTTACGGTGAATGGAGTCATGTTATTTCTTAAGAGAATAAAAGCTGTTCGGAAAACGAATGTGAAAGTGCGCTGAAGTCTCAGAGTTTCTCCAGAAACCTGCTGAAATCACCTTATTCCACATTTAGTGTGAATGTGAAAGTGCTGGTTGATACATGGGCGAAGGCCACGAGGTTCAGCCGGGAAACACATGACACAGAGCGGGATACAAAGCCACAGACGCCCGCACATTCACGGGCCTGCGTGGATCACATCTTATTTTGCGTGTGCGAGTAATAAATGCTGCTTCCGCACAGACAGAGGTGGAAATATCGAGAGCCACTGTGACAATAATAAAACCAAGCGTATGACAATAATAACACACCAATGCGTGCGTCCTCCAGCCAGTGTGAGCGCACAGGAAATATTTACATCCCTCAGCTGCACTATTAAAAGATTATTCTATTTTATTTTTCTAAAACAATTTAAAAATGATGTTTCAATTTTATTTTTGATTGTGCTCTTTTATTTATTTAAGAAATTAAATGTGTAAATATTGATGTACAACTGAAAAGCAACAACAGGTTAATTTATGTAAAAATCTAATTGTTGGTGGATATTTTTTCCACTTGATTAAATGTTAAATGAAAATGTGACTACACAGTGGCTGAGTGACGCACACGCGCACACACACAAACACACGCAGACACACACACACACACACACACACTGAAGGCCTTCAGACCAGCCACAGCCATCACACAACAACTCTTTTTAAATCACTGCACAGCAACCGAAGCAATGCGAGGAGACAACACGGGGCAGGGAGAGGAGCTTACTGTTGGTAGTCGTGTTTGCAGTAAAGTTTCCTCTCTCTGAAGTAACAGCTGGTGGTGAGGGGCTGCTGACACACGGTGCACTGCAAACACTCCTCGTGCCACGAAGAGTCGTTGACTCTCATCAGGAAGCGGTCAGAGATGGGCCGCTGGCATCCTTCACACACGGACGGGTGGTGACACTCGGAGCCTGCGTGGTGGACACGGATGAGGAGTGTTTTGGGGGAGAGGAGGAGAGAGAGGAGGCCTGAATCAAGGACTGCGTCGTGTGACTGAAAACTAAAGGCCTCAACACTCGCTGCTTCAAAAAAATCAGCTGGAGCGAGTGGATGAGTCAGTTTGAATAAAAAAATAACATGCTTCAATGGAGGAATTTAGTGTTTTCTGTAATGTGAGGCCATCACGCATGCAGCATTTAGATGTCTGGATAGCTCAGTGTGTGTTTCCTTGACAATAGCATGGACATAAAACTACATTTGACATTAATACATGTGGCATTTTATCCAATTGAATGCATTAATATGACCTAAATCAGCAGCAAGTGGGCATGCATGCAGAAATAATGGCTTCCATGCAAGCAGGAGTAGCAGTCTCGTGTGATCTCAGAGTGGTTTACAGAGGTACGACTGGTGAATAATAATGGTAATAAAGTATATGAAATAAATAGACTTACCGAGCATAACTCCCAGCGTGGCCTGTCCCGATCGCAGGGGGTGATCTTCAATTTTTATGCCGTCCAGCATGATGCAAGTCTCGGACTGTTCTCGCACGGAGAGGCGCTCCTGCAGTGACACCAGACCTGTTGCAATATCCATAAGAAGACGGTCAGATAAGTCCCCGGTACACAGAGAGCTGTGTGGAGGGACAGCGAGAGGACGAGCTGCTGTATAAATGTATGTATATAATGTGTATATACACGCGGGGCAGGAGAACAACACAACTAGACCTGATGCGAAAAAACACGAGTGGAGTCAGATGCTGGCAACAGTTGGGAGGCGAGAGTGAGTGTGAGCCGGCTCCACTGATCCCTGCGTGTCACAGGCAAAGCAAACAATACGCGTGGAGAAAGAAGTCAGTCACCTGTTGTATGATCAGAGGAACCGAGCGAGTTTTATCTTCGGCGTCCTCGAGCAGACTGGAGAGCTGCAGAGAAAATGTCTTCACGGAATAAGAGTCTCGTCAAGGAGGAGGGAGAGTGAAAAAAAAAGCACACACTCATACGCGCCGGAGGAAGAGGAAAAAGTTGACAACAAATCCAAAGATATAGGAGCGCGCGTGTGTGTATGTGTGTGTGTGTGTGTGTGTAGATGTCCCGGCTCTAACTCTTTGGAAGGAACAGAGGCGGATGGTTGCTTGGTTGGCTGGTTGTGCTCCTGTCGCTGCTAAAAAGTCTGAGATCGAGATTGAAGCGAGTGGATGGATCCTCCCACTCCTGCATGCATGGCTTCACTTTTTTTTTTCAGTCCTCCCCATTCACCGCCATTGGGATGCTATTGGAGCAGAGTACAGTGCAGTCCAATAACAACACGCACACACACACACACAC